TCACGAGTGAAGCGTGATTCGTCTGCCTTGGTTGTATCCTGGGACTCGATATTCGTACAGTTTCGTCTCACTACGGAGCGAATATTAAGAGTTAAGGAAAGAGATTTATCTCGCCTCCATGTCTTATATAATCGTTTATTTCCTTAACTCCGTCTTTCTTATATCGTTCATGTCGATCCGGTTTTCCGGCTTCTACAAAGACAAGGGAAACGAAATGTTAGGACACATCACATGCTTGCTTTCGTACGCCTGAAATTAGCTGTTGTGTCCCTTCCATTGGTCTATGATTCCCCGATGGACGTGTTGTGTTCTCTTCTGTTTAAATCCAACAACTACAAATGTGAATAATGCTATGAACACATATTTATCTTAAAAGCTCTGTTTTTTTTTATCATTAAAGGTATGCCCGGTTTGACTGCTTATGCTGGATTTTACGAGATTTGTTCACCTAAGAAAGGAGAAACAGTCTTCATTTCTGCGGCTTCTGGAGCGGTTGGGCAGCTCGTGGGTCAGTTTGCTAAGTTGATGGGCTGCTATGTTGTTGGAAGTGCCGGAAGTAAAGAAAAGGTGAACAAGCGTTTTCTTTCTAATACGTATCGCTCAAAAGAAATTTTTACTCTCTCTTATATATGTTTGGTTCTCGTAATCCATCAAGGTCGATCTCTTGGTGCAAAAACTCGGTTTCGATGATGCATTCAATTACAAGGAAGAGCATGACACTGACTCCGCCTTAAAGAGGTATTTTTAATATATATATACACTTCAGTTTCTTGGTAGTTAGAATCAAATTGTGTGCTCTCTTTCTTCCCGCAGATGTTTTCCAAAAGGGATTGACATATACTTTGAGAACGTAGGAGGCAAAATGCTTGATGCCGTGCTACTGAACATGAAAACCTATGGAAGAATTTCTGTCTGCGGAATGATCTCTCAGTACCATCTTGAAACCAGAGACATAGTACATAATCTACCTGTCATCATGTTCAAGAGGTTAAGGATGCAAGGGTTTGCTTCTTTTGACTTCATTGATAGATTCCCTAAGTTCTTGGAGTTTATTCTTCCATATATAAAAGACGGAAAGTTAACGTACGTGGAAGACATTGTTGAAGGACTCGAGAATGGCCCTGCTGCTCTTGTAGGACTTTTCCGTGGGCAGAACATTGGAAAACAAATTCTTGAAGTTTCTAGAGAGTGAGAGATATCGAACGGTTATTGGTACGGCTATGCTTTATAGAATCCTATCATTTTGTTATAAGGAGATTCGTATGGTTTGTTTAAAAGTGGTAGCTGAATATCTATTGAAATAAGATATAATTAGATTTTAACCCGCTGTTGAAAATTGCAAATTTATTTTTGAAACTAAATAATTTAGTGAATTTTTATATAAGATAGTGTATAAGTTTGGACATATTTATCCGGAACCACGAATTGAACCATACCAAACTGAAATATGAAATTCCGAATTTTATAAATAATCGAGCGATCATATATCCTCGGAACCGAAAAGTTGAAACCAAACCGAGAACCAAATGAGTATTTGAATTTTAAAATATAAATTATAGCTTATAAATATTAATAATTTTTAAATTCTAGATAACCAAATATCCCAAAAATACTTTTATACTGTAATATATATATATATATATATATATATATATATATATTTTTATATCCTATCTGAACATATAGTCGAACCGGTAAACTTGGTGTCGTATATATAATTTGGTATAGCTTATGTTTTCTTTTTTTTCTTTTTTTTTTTGTCAGCGCATAAAACAGACTCATATAGACTCTGTGAACCAAAACGGGAGAACCTCATCCATATGAACGATGAACGACGGTTGCTGCCTTGCTCCACGTGCAAGACTGTCCGCCCTTTTGTTCTGTGTCCGAGGAACATGGATTAGCTCCGAGCTATGGAAGCTTCTCTTCAATACTTGTATATCTTCTAAGTAACTTGCAAAAGCCGGCCATTCATCTGGTTCTGAAACCATCTTCACCAATTGAGAGCAGTCCGTTGCAAAAGTGACATTATATTGCCTTAAATTCCTCATACATTCCATTGCCCAAATTAGAGCTTCAATCTCCGCATGCAGTGGCGATTGACTCGCTCTTGTATTCCTCGCACCCATTAAGCCATGAAAACCTTCCAGGGTACTATACCATCCCTGTCCAGAAAAAAGTTCATGATCCTTCCAAGACCCATCCGTAAAACACCATCTGCCAGAACGAATCTGTGGTGATTCAGTCGTCAAAGTTGTTCCAGACTGTGGGATTTCCGATTTTAATGATAATTGCACCTCGCGCCAAAGTAGTGCCTCAGTTTCCGCCAATTTTAGCGTATCCCGTGGATCAATATCCAGATTACTATAAACTTTGTTGTTGCGTGCCTTCTATATATACCATAATACCCATGCAAAATGGTGATCATCTAATATTGGCTGAACCCTCCAAAATAAGTGATCCATGTTTGTGAACAGAGTGCTTGTGGGAAAGATGGTTGGATTTGATTGGGATCCTTGAGAGAGCCCAAACCTGGATCGCTGGTGGGCATTCAATAAATACATGATTAGTAGATTCTTCCGGGTGACCACACCGTGCACAAGTTGTATCCCCTTGCATTCCCCTTGCCCTTAAATTTTTCTTAACCGCTATACATCCTGATACCAATTGCCATAAAAAATACTTCGATTTTGGTGGGCAACACACTTTCCAACAGAAAGCCTTTAGTGGAGTGGTCAAGGGGCCAAACTCCGGAGGGATTCTTTCTCTGTCCGGGTACACTCGTTCCACTTCATAAGCAGATTTGACCGTATATTTTCCATTTTTAGTATAATGCCATCCATCACGATCAGTCGTGTGATATCTGCTTAATGGAATACTTTCACTAATTTTTACATCTTCTGGGTCCACCAGACTCCAGATTGCCTGTATATTCCATGTTCTTGAGCTTGTATTAATGAGCGAATCGACTGTGAGGTCGGGATAAAGGTTGTGTTGGTTTTTGTACTAGTAAGAAGTTTCTCTCGTTCTGCCTTTTTAATATTTGCTATTATCGCTTCCGTACACATGATGAATAAATAAGGTGATAATGGATCCCCTTGCCTGATCCCCCTTGTTGGAATTATATTTCCTTTTGGGGAGTTATTTAGTAATACCTTATATTGTACCAAAGAGATACATTCCATCATTAGCTGGATCCAATGATTTCCGAAACCCATTTTAGAGAGGAGAGCTTTGATGAAATTCCATTCTACTTATCATATGCCTTACTCATATCTGTTTTGATAGCCATGAATTTATTCTGACACGACTTATTGGTCTGCAGTCCATGGAACATTTCCTGTGGTATGAGTATATTATCCGAAATCAACCTTCCTGCCACGAACGCTGATTGTGTCTCTAAGATGAGTGAGGAAAGACACACCTTCAGCCTCTGACATAATACCTTAGAAATAATCTTATATCCAACATTACATAAACTGATAGGCCGTAACTCTTTCATTCGCGTAGGTCTTTCCGTTTTGGGGATTAAGCAAATGTTTGTAGCATTTAGCCGCGTAACCAATTTGCCTGAGATCAAAAAACTATTAACCATTTCCAAAAGATCCCTCTTTATAATATGCCAAGAGTGCTGAAAAAAAGTATCGTCATCTCATCCGGTCCAGGTGCTTTTTTGGGATGCATCATGAACAATGCTTGCCGAACCTCCTCCTCAGTAGCTAGTCGGACCAACCTTTGATTCATCTGGTGTGAAATTGTGGGGACAATCTCTTCTAGAAACTCATCAAAATTTGATGGGGATGTCGTCTGGAATAAGTCATCAAAATATTCCACCTCCACCTTTTCCACCCCTTGTTCCTCAATTATCCAATCTCCATGGTCGTCATAAAGTCCCACAATTCTGTTATGGGTTCGTCGTTGTTTTGTCAGGGCATGACAGAAATTGATATTAAGATCCCCTGCTGTGTTCCACATGTTCCTGCTCTTTTGATGCCAATACTCTTGTTCATCTTTATACGCCTCTTGTAATTTCCTAGATACTTCCATAATGTTCTTCTGGGTTCTATTGTCATCCGTCTGTACTTCTTCCAGAGCTTTTTGAAGCTCACTAATTTTCTCCTTGCCATAAGGTGGATTATTCTTACGTCATGTAGAGATCTCATGCATGCAATTAGTAATCCTTGAGACAAAATCCCCTGAGCTATGTGATGCTCATCCCCTCTCAATTGATTCCATTAAGCAAGTTTTTCCAATCCATCTTTTATCAAACCAAAATTGGGCCCGTCGTATCGGTACCTTGTTCTCAAGATAAGCTACTACTGGGCGGTGATCAGAACCCACTAGCCCTAGATATTCAGTGTAGGAACACGGGAAGAGGGTATGTCAATCTTCATTAGCCAAAGCACAATCCAGGCGACATCGAACCATCCCTCGCTTCCTTCTCCCCTGCCATGATATTTCCTCTTGCCGGAAATTCCAGTAAACCAGTATTCCTGATCATATTATTAAGAGGTACAAAGGATTCTGCGCTGCGTAAGGCACCCCCTTCCTTCTCATGGTTACCAGTAATCTCGTTTAAATCTCCAATAATAAACCATGGCTCTGTTCTTGCCAGTCCATACCTCGTTAGTCTCTCCCATACTTGTTCTCTCATTTTCGGTACCGGGTCTCCGTAAACAAATGTCATGAAAACTTTTTTCCCAAGTGCCACCGCCTCAACATCTATCATTCTGTTACTGGAGTAAAGAATTTTAACCTGAAACTCATTATTAAAATATAGGGCTAAGCCTCCTCTGGTTCCAATTGGTTCCACCGTGACCACATTATCATAACCAAAATGTGCTTGGAATCCTTGAATAAATATACTCTTGTTTTGTTTCTGAGAGGAATAAAAAGTCAGGTTTGTGTTTGTCCATATTTCCCGGAGATAACTGATTGTCCAATGACTTCCCATGCCGCGACAATTCCAAGTTAAAACTCTCATTTAAAGGTTTTCAAAAAACTTGCTCCCTGGAGCTAAATACGACGGGTGTAAAGAAACCCTTAAAAAATACCATGATCCATAGCAACGTAGAACTGAATTATTTCCTAGCATGCACCATATGTATGTGGAAGTCCACATTGCCTTTGAATTTAAACCACACTCTTTGACATGCCTCCACAGCACCGCATCACTCATCTTTAAAAAAAGCCAAACCTCAATTATTTCACATTTCCATCTGAAAAGCAGGCACTCTTGTATATCCCTCATCTTCCTCTGCGCTTGGTTTGATGAGACCAAACTCAGAGTTTGTTGTGCAATTAAAGCTTGTATCCATAGTCTCCTTTGAAATCTGTAGAACCAAACTGACCATAGGAGGAGCATAAACCCAATTATATCCATTTTATAGAAGAGATTGTAGAGATAAAAACATGCCATACAAGTATAAACCTCCTTACATCCTAAGCATAAACTTGTAAATGAAGATTCAAAGCAGTACCGAGAAACAAAGCCGTACCAAGAAATAAAACAAACACTTTCCTTCCATAATATGATCTTATAATAAGACCATTTTACCAGAAAAGAGCATACAAAAACCAAATTTAAATCATGCAGAAGATAACAAAAGATACTCCAAGAGCTTATTAAAACATTAAAAGAACAAAAAAAGAGAAATCGAAAACACCAAATAAAGCACTCCCCTGAGCTTGCGTGAATCACTAAAACTTCATATCTTTTCAGGGTCTTATTTTCGGTTTAATGGACCCTTATCCTCCGCCTGCTTGGTGTGATCACCATGACGCATCCCTGCCTTAGTCACCGGAAGTTTGTTAGCCAGCATCTGAGCCATCTTCAATTTGTTGGAAGCCCCTGCAGCCATAGTCGCCTTAGTAGGCTTTCTACGCAAGCCATGTCGCTTTGCTGCCTCATCAGTGCTATTATTTTTCCCTTCCCTCTCCTCTACCTCATTTTCCTCTTCTAGAACATCGGATGCAAACTCATGCATCTTAGTATCCCCATCAAAATCCCCATCCGAAACTTGTTGTATACCATCCAAGAACTCTTCCTCATTCTCCTTCCTCGTATTGTCAACCATAGTTCCCTCTACACCCAAACCAGAGTCCACCCCCAAATTTTTACCTTCCTCAGAAACCCTATCCAACTCACTAGGTCCTTGTTCCTCACGTAAAGAAACTGAGTGTGCCTGTTGTGGCAATGGCTCTTGAGTCTCCATTAACTCGGCAAGGAAAACTTGAGAAGGTGGTGCCTGGTCTTTTTCTCGTGTCTGTGAAGGTGTCTTCCCTGACTCATTGTTCTCCCCGTCTTCTCGTGCCTCGTCCCTAGTCCCACTACGTGTTCCTCTGCCACTCCTCGAAACTCCAGATCTTCTGTGTGTATCGTCTTGGTTATGGTTCCGTGGGTGCTCCCTCCTGGAGCTCCTGTGACGAGAACTCTATTCCTCTCCCCGATGACCATGTCGATTGTGGTATTTCCTTTGTTCTCTCTCCCCGACTTTGATCCACTGCGACTCATTTTCTTCATACATTTTACCCTTGTCATTGCCATGATACTCTCGATTCTCTCTTCCCCTGTCTTGTTGCCCCCCAGTTCCATTTATTACCACCCCTTTGTAACTCCTCGTCCTATCCTCGGTCCATCCTTCAGTTTCACTTCTTGATTCAACCTTTGTCTCCTTCATCTTGTCAGAGTTCTTTGGATTCAATGGACACTTCTCCTCCTTGGGGCAAAGGCTAAAGCATGTATCACAGTAGCCAAATAGCTTTTCATACCTTAGTGAAACCGGTAACTCCACTCCTTCATAGTATTCTCCCCCCTTGAAATCAATTGTCGTTTCAAAAACCAACTCTTTGAAACCATCCACTGTCACTTGCACCCGACCATAATCCAAATCGACATCCTTTGTTTCCCCTAGCGCATCACCAATACTGCGGAAAGTAGGAACTTCCCAGAACTCCAAAGGAACCCCCAATACCTTGATCCATAATGTAATCTCCGAAAGGTAGTTCTTGGTCTTCTTTGGCTGCCACCTTACCAATGAAATCATTCAATAGTCGAAATGGAAAGGCTGCATCTTCAGCACCGTTTCAATGTCTTCCTCGGTATCAAAATCAAATTGGAACCTCCCAAGACCCAAATCAGTACCCACGACTGTTTCCTCCATGACCCAAATGTTAGGAAGCGTCCCCACCAGAAACTTTATGTTCTGCTCTGCCGGATTCATGCATCTTCCAATCAATGTTTTGGAATAGCCCCTGATAAGGTCCGAGTTGTTGAAATGAGGGACTGAGATCTTCAACTTATTGCGCGCTCCTTCACCATTCTTCATCTCTCCAGTAGCACCAAGAAGTTGACTCTGCGACATATTCAAAGCAACAGGAAAACCGTAGAGAAAAAGTTTTAGTAGAAAGAAATCGTTGTAAGTGATGCTAATACAGTTTGAGATGAAGCTCTATTTATACAATTCCCAGTACACCAAGTTGCTGTGGAGGATTATTTCACCATAAATACCGGATCTTTCGTCAAAGAGAAACTTATGGTGTAGTAAGAAAGTTGATATCCGCACAATCTCTGCAAAGAGATCCCAAAAAAATCCCTAGTTTCCAATCTCCCACTTTCTGATATCGTATCTGATACCAAGCCATCACTGATAATATCAATCGAGATACCGTTTTTAATGAAAACATAGATCCTACCTTCGAGGGTTTGATCAAACTTGTGGTAAATTGAGCCCTCAGATCGGCTTCCGAATCTTGATGATTTTCCTTTGTTTCCATTCTGGACATGTTGAGATATCTCAACACCACATCGCAGATCCGATTGATATCCTCTTTCCCATATCCTTTCACCGTTCCTCTCCCCGTTCCTCCCATATAAACCCGCCTTTCCAAAACATCGCCTTAACCATTGAAAGCCGTTGATTCCCGGATTCCACCGTCGATTGACCATGACCCTAGATTATCGCAATCGCCATCGCCGTTCGCCGTTTTTTGAAGAAAAGCTTTAAGTTAAATAATAATGTATAGCTTATGTTTTCATGTAGCATTCTATCAGAGATCCTACCAACTGATATGTTTCCACAAAATTAGAATTAAATGAAAACCTACTAATTAAAAATATGATGAGATCCAAAAATGCACCATTAACCCATGAACAGACAACAGTTTACCCCAGCAAAAATACCTAATTTAATTTGTAGTAGAATCCCTATAAATTAATAGTGTTAGTACTTTTGAAAATTAATTAATTTATAGATATTAATTTTAAAAAATTCCTTATTTAGTTTTTTTTTTTAATTTTAAGATGTATTTATTGTAAAGTAAGAAAAAAATATTTGATTTTAGTTTATAAGCATTAATTAATCTTTTTGAAATTTGAATTTTATATTAATTTTATATTATTTGGTGTATATAATATTTTTTATAGGATTTAAATGTGGTTCTAGATATAATAATTGTAAATATCATCAAAAATATATGAATTCTTAAAAAAATATAAAGATAATTTTATTGTGAATACAAAACAAACAATATAATGATAGGTTCTTATATATGTAAAATATTTATACTAATATATTATTAATTTATAATTTTAATGGGACTATCTATTTACATAAAAGTTTCTAAAAATTATTATTATTTTATCCATTTGTATCAAATTTTGAACCGGTCTAAATAGAGACCGATGAAATTTATTAATTTATAGAGATTATTAATTTATCTAGTATTAATTTATCGAGTTTCTACTGTATATACATATCCCGCAAATTGAATTGATATATTAGAGTTAAATCACAGATTTTGGTTTTATATAATAAAGGTTAATTTATTAATGAAATCGTACAACAATTTTGTAAGTAGATTTTTAAGTTTCATTTAATAGTGTATATATATATATATATAATAGTATAGCAATATTTTTAAAAAACATTGTTTAGTCCAGTGGAATTAATCTATCAATTTCGCGGACATGACACAGGTTCGATGCCAAGAGTCATCGAAACGTACCATCATTTGTTCTCCAATCCGTACTCGTCTCGTCAGCTAAGTCGTGCTCATCTTTTGCTGCTTCAGCAATAGGAGCCACCAATGAGTATGGCTCGCTTGATAAGTCGATGCTCGGTTTCTCGATCATATGTATCAGGATCGTTCTCTTGACTTGGTCACAGAGTGTGCTTCCTAATGCGAGGGCCTCGGCGCGTATATTCTCTTCTCGGGGAAATATTGTGAGTCCAAAATAACTCAAAGTCTTTTGCAAGGTTTTGGATGAGCTTCAGGTATGCATCCATGCGTTCTTTATGGGCGTCATAGTCGCCGCTGAACTGGTTCGTGACAAGCTGCGAGCCACAAATAAGCGCTTAATCGTTTAGCTTTGACAGATTTAGTTAGACGGAGTCCCGCAATGAGTGATTTGTATTCTGCCTCGTTGTTTAACGCGGTGAAGCCGAAACTAAACTACTGGTGGATCAAATCTCCCGTGGGTGATTTCAGTTGGACGCCAGCTCCTGACCCTTTGTACGTGGATGAGCCATTGTATTTCAGGATCCAGTTTTGGCTTGGCAAAAGTAAATCCTGCTCCAATTCTGGTGCGAGTTTGATCATGAAGTCGGCAAAACTTGTGATTTTTCTGCTGTTCTTTTCTTGTAAGTGATGTCATGTTCACTTAACTCGATCGTCCAATTGGAAAGTCGTCTGGACTGAGTGGTGTTTTGCATAATCATATGGAGCGGCTGATTGGTTTGAACTTTGATGGCGTGTGATTGGAAACAAGTTCGGAGCTTTCTGGCGGAGGTTACGACAGCGAGTGCCATCTTCTTGAGAGTCGGATAACGAGTTTCCGGGTCATTCATGCGCTTACTCATGTAAAAGATTGGTTTATGTTCGCCTGGGTCTTCCTTGATGAGGACGTTGTTGACTGCGGTAGAAGAGATTGTGATGTACAAGGATAGGATGTCCCCGTACTCCGGCTTAGAGAGTACCGATGGTGTCGTGAGATACTGTTTGAGTTGGTTGAATGCCTCCTTGCATTTCTCATCCCACACGAATCTTTTGTTTCCGCAAAGTAAGTCATAGAAAGGGAGACATTTGTCGGTTGATCGGGAGATGAAACGATTGAGTGCTGCAATACAGCCAGTCAGACGCTAGACTTCTCAGCTGTTTTCGGGCTTGGTAAGTAGAGTACTGCCGAGATTTTCTTTGGGTTAGCTTTGAATCCTTGTTGAGTTACAATATATCCAAGGGGTTCACCCGACTGGACGCCGAAGTTGTACTTAGCCCGTTTGAATTTCATTCCGTACTAATTCAGTGTACCGAGGCAATCTTGCAGATGTTTGAGGTGATCGGTTGCGTAAGGAAACTTAACTATCATATCGTCGATGTAAACTTCCATCGTCGTTCCTAGCATGTCTGCAAACATCCGGTTAACTAGTCGCTGGTAGGTTGAACCTGCGTTCTTTAAGCTGTAGATACGTTATGAATGCGGTTTTTTTTCTATTGTTGGAATGCATCATGATTTGATTGTACCCGTAGAATTCATCCATGAAGGTCAGCAAATTGTTTCCGGCGGTGGATTCGACCAGGCGATCACTGTATTGGAGTGGGATGCTGACCTTTGGGTATGTTGTGTTCAAGTCGGTGAATTCGACACAAACACACCATTTGCTGTTCTTTTTCTTCACGGCGACTGAATTTGCTAGCCACTCCGGGTAGCACACCTCGGTAATTGAACCAGCAACGAGTAACCTTTCCACCTCTTTGTAAACCGCTTTAGATTGCTTGGGGCTGAGATTTTGTCTTTGTTATTGGATAGGCTAGAAAGTCGGGTCGACGTTTAGCTCGTCAGTGGTTATTGCCGAGTTAATTCCTTTCATGTCACAAAAGGTCCACGCGAAAATTGAAGAATTTTGGCGAAGGAATGCGATGACCGCTTGTAGTGTTTCATCGGTGAGATAGGCACCGACTCGAGCGAATTTTCTCTGGTCTGTGTCGTCAATTGCTACCTTTACTATTTCTTCCTTCTAGGGGTATACCTTATGGATAAGTTTAGAGAAGGAGTTCACGTGGAAAGTTGATCGTTCAAGTTTGATTGTTGCAATCAATAGGTCTCTGGCAGCCTGTTGGTCCCCACGGAGTGTGCGAATCTGATCATCGTGCGTAAGGAATTTGACACATTGGTGGTATGTTGAAGAAATTGACTTCATCGAATGGAGCCACAGAATGCCGAGAATAACGTTCTAGGGGGCCTTTGTTTCAATCACGGAGAACGTGACTATCCTCTTTACGTCGCATTCATAAACAGGGCGACGGATTGTTCCCATGATTTTCCTTAAGGATCCATTGAACTGGTTAGGGAGTGAGAGGATGGCTTGATGTCGCGTAAGTCGATTCCCATTTTGTCGAGTTTCTCGCGGAAAATGTGATCAGCTGAGCTACCAGTGTCTGTCAGTACTTTTTTCACCTCGCAAACCCCGATTATGAGTTCAATAAGAAGTGGGTCGTTGTGCGGCATATGAACTCCGCGCAAATCGTGCGGCGAGAAAGTGATCTGATGATCATTCTCGGGGTTTGATGGTCATTTCTGAGTGATTTCTACCTGGAGGGGGTGGTCTTTGACCGAGTGAACTGACTCGCCACATGGGGGTGATCCACCCATGATGTGTAATCGTAATTGACTTTCGGTGGATCGTGCTTGGAGTAGAGTCTGTAAGTCGGTTGGAGAGCTTGTGGAATCCTATGCTGCATTGTTCTTAGATTCTTCTTGTTGTCGCCGTAAATCGGTCAGCTTTGGTCGGTTGAGCCAGATCCTTAGATCGCCAACTCTGGAGTTGAGCGCATCGTGGAGGTCTGTAACATTGGGAACCATATGTCGTATGAGTTGGTTGATGTCGTTAGTCGATTTTCTTGCTTTATATGTGTTGATTATGGCTCGTAAGTTTGTCGTGCTGACCGTTTTGTGGTTAGCCGCAGTAGTTTCCTTTTAAGTCGGCTTCGCAGATCTGTTAAGTCGGCACAGTAGACGACCGATCGCGTTGACTGACTACACGGGTCGTCGGGTTCTGGAGGGGTTTCCTCATCTGAATAAGTGGTTTGCGGGGATAAGATTACATCGACATGTCGACGGCTTATCGATTTTTCTTCGTCGGCGAACGTATCCTCTTTGTCCTGGTCTTTTGGTTGATCTTTAGAAGCCATTTTGTCGTCTCTGGTTGACTTGAAAAGACTTAGCTTAGGGTTTCTGGTTCTTCTCTTCTTTGTTCTTCCTCCATTTTTGCTGTTTTTCGGATTTGATTTGGGCGGTTTGACCTTCGCCGTGCCGCTGTTGAAGGATGTCTTGAGGGTTTCATGAAGCTGCTGGTATTCACGTGCATTGTGTCCCTTAACTTGATGGTAAGTGCAAAATTTTGAAAGATTGACGGAACTCGATGCACTGGCTTGAGCGTCAGGTTTCTCGTTGGTCTCCTTATCTGGTTTGGGCCAATGCTTCCAACCTTTGATGTGTACTACGATCGCCGAGCCTTTGAGTTCATTCTCATTAACGATGTAAAAGAAACTTATCTTTTGGTCGGGTTTGTCGCTTGAGGAATGCTGAGTGGCTCTTGTCGTGTGGCGGCACTTTTTTTCATTGACGGCTTAGTGACGTTATGTTTGCTCATGATTGCCAGGGTATCTTCCTCCATCCGGATGAAGTTAAGGGAATGGGCTATTACGTCTTGAAGAGAAGTCGCATGATTGCGATAAAGGTCATCACGGAACTTGGAATGCACGTAAAGGGTCATCAGAGCGTCAATGGCAATGTTGTCAAGAACGTTAACCTTAGAGACGACGGCTTTGAATTTCTCCATGAACTCGCTAAGGGCCTGACCCTGAGGCTGGGA